TCTCTCTCTTTTTTTTCATCACATCACATTGCCTAACTATGGGATCGTTATCTTTCGTATGTTCCTTTTCCCATCGTTTATCTCTTTTCTCCTCTTATATGATATCACATTGCCTACCACTGCTTTATCCCTGATGTATCTATCTGCATGATTCGTATGACTTATCACTTATTCAATATTGGCTATGTATTAGTTACGTGGGACACTATACAAAACTGGTAGATCAACGAGACTCTCTCCAAACAAAACGTGTACGTGCCATTTCTCTCATGAAAACCACCAACTCCACTGAATCCCTCACAGATCAATCATCAAAAATTGGAATATTCATCAACATTTATTGTCAATATTTGAAGTGAAGAATATTTGCGCTAAACAAATGAACTGACCATTGAAAAAAAAGTTGATTTTAAAAAGGATGTATAAGTAATGGAAGCTGAAACAATATCAGAAACAATATTTAATTTAAGTAGCATTTCACTTCTTGCCACTTTTTTTTGGAACCAGTATTTTTTGGAAAATCAATCTCAGCATATCATGTTGCTAAAATTTAACAGGTTTAAATTTTAAAAAACTTGAAAATTTGCTTAAATTAATGTTTTAGTAGCTTTTAGATGAAAGCAATTGAAGCAGTGCATATAAAATGAAGAATGAACAAATTTTCTCATTGAAATTGTATACAATCATTATTTCAACGGATTTATTTGTAATTTAGAAAGGAATAAAGATTGATTGAATTGTTTCTTAATTTCCAGAAAAAAAATGAAATGAGCAAAAATTACTAAATCATTTCATAAATCTATTTTTCATTATAATTAACAATGAATTATTAAAGGGGAATAGTAACTTTTTTTTTACAAAAATTAAGGTTAATTTAAATTACATTTTCCAACTATATTCAAAAATTGCAAATTATTTTTTTGTAAAATTAACCGTTGAAATATTTGCTAAAAATTTAAAAAGAACAAATATGAAAATGCTTAAAAAACCAAAAATGAAATAAATTTGTCACAGTTAATTCAAAAATACTTGTTTTTGCAAGGAAAAAAAATTTTTGCCGTTTTTTTTTATTTCGGTAAACTATTTTTAGGTTCCTTTTAAAGAAATTCCCAAAGTGTCTTTCTTTTTTTTCGTCGTTAAAATTATTTTTTGTTTCAAAGTTAGGCTATTTTTAGAAGCAACAATAGTTGGTACTAATATTATTGCTACGACAATAATAACAATTACTACTAATTATTGTTGAAGTTATTGGTTATGATAATAATTGCTATGCATATAACAAAAAATATATTTAAAAAAAGTAAATTAAAAAATGGTTCGTTTTAAGAAAAAAGAAAAAAAAATTGGGTCAGAATTGAATTTTGAGAGAGAGAAAAAAAAAATTGGCACAATTATAACCCCTCCTTCTATAATAGCGTATTGCATTAGTGTTGATAATTAAACATTGTTATCATGTTGTCAACTAAGTTATCTGATATCAATTTTTAACATAGCTAATTGATATTCGGAGCTATTTAGTTACACGAATAAGTGATAAGAATGATAATAGCCATAGTAACACATATTATCATAGATTTTTTAACATTTCTCACTTTCTCTTTACATTTAGCCATCGTTAAAAAATGATTCAATTTCATTAATTATCATCACCGCTTCATCATTGTTATCATCGAACATTTTCAACAAAATTGCATAGATATTATCAATTTTCCTTCTTATTTTTAGAAATTTTCATAATCATTCACATCTAAAATATGCAATATGATTGTGTACACATTCATTTTAAATAATTCCAAATTTTCAGATTTGATACTTCAAATTAATCGTTTGCAAAAACATTTTAACATATCATCATTAGCAAGGATTCTTTTTTATTATTTATTATTATCACTGTTATTTATCAACGACAAAAACAATGAAATATGCAATATTTTTTATTTTTATCATTTCATTCCTACCTGTAACATATACTTTTACTTCTTTAGTAAGTTTTCCATTCATAATTAGCAAAGTGAATCATTTTTTTTAAAAACTAAAATCAAATCGATATTCATATATTTGTAAAATACAATAAATAAATTGTTAGCTATGGAAAAAATGAAAGTATAATTTTACAGAATGACTCGATATCATACTGTGAATTTTTGGCTGAATGTGAAATGATTTCACAATTGCAAGAAAAACTTTGCATAGGGAATAGCATATTAACACCATATTGGCTACCATCACGTGATCCTATAGGTCAACGATGTCACATTCTTCTTAGAAATCATTATCGAAAGGTTACAACAATTTTTCTTTTCATCCTTTATTATTCTAATGAAATAATAATGATAATTAATAATAACTATAGTAATTGATACTTTATAGTTGGATCGATTAATGCATGAATCCAATAGTTTGCTACTGTTATGTATGATTGAACGTTCACCGCCACTTGGCGAACAACAGGTTTGACCTTTCTTTCCTTTATTACACTTCTTGAGCAGTGTGAAATAATTAAATTAAAATAAATTTTCAAGTAATAGTGAATTGATAATTATAATTAGATTGGAATAACATTTTAAATTGTTCGCTTTTTCGAAATTTTATTTCAGTTTTATATTTTGTTAATAATTGACAATAATTACAATTTAGCTAAAATAATATTGCAAATTGTTCGTTGTTTTTTTGAAAATTTCAATTTTGTATTTTGACAACAAATTAAGATTTGAGATGTATAGAAAGTGTTAATGGTTTTTTTTTGCATTCAAATTATGTATGTGACAAGAAATTGGAATTTGATCAGAAGGATCAAATTCCAATTTCTTGTCACATATGTTTTTTATATATCGGAAAATTTTGAATAGAGAATAGAATAGAAGGATTTTTAAGAGAGAGGAGGAGAAAAAGAGAGAGAAAAAGAAAGAAAGGGAGAAGAAGAGAATGTAAAAAAGGAAATTGGGTAGTGATGTGTTACTTTATCAGAGAAGGCGGAAATTAAAAGAGGAAGAATGACGGAAAGAGGTCAAAAATTGATATTACTAAGAAACTTCAGGGCAACTTTTTGAATTTCCTTTAAACTTTAATTAAAATTCTGAGATTACCTGAAAAAAAGAAATGTACAATTTGAAACATTCATAAAATCCTTTAAATTCTTAAGTAATTTTTCTGCTTTTCTTTTCAACTTCAAATTTCAACAGTTTTTTCCTTCTTTTTTTAAAAAAAAATATCTCAATTATAATTTTTGCAAGAAAAAAAAATTATCCTACAACAGAAACAATACTGCGATCATTCATTATTTCAACGGATTAATGAATTGAAAGAGAAGGATGGTAGTCCAAATTTGGATCAATGCTTCCAAGGTAGCAAACGATTCGAACGACAATGTGGTCCATTACGCCAATGTTGTGGTGCTTATGATAGGTTAATTTTCATTAAAAGATTCATTAAAATAAAAAAAAGCTATAAAATGTGGAGAAATAATTCTAAGAGTGTAGCGATGAATTGTATCTGTATTTTGCATTTCAAAAATCTCTTATAAATCCGGTAAATGCATTTCGCTGCTAATTGCTTTCATTTATAATTCCTGATAATATCTTTAATTGCAATTCCCTGAGAGCAGGGGGTCTATTTGTTTCCGATATCGTAAAGGTCAAATTTTTGAAATTATTGTAAACCAAATGTCGCCAAATTCTACCACAACAATGAATCATATCATTTGTTCTTTGTACATTTGATCGATTTTCTGATGAAAGAAATTTTATATTTAAATGACCTATTTTTATCATCCATTTGCAAATCTATCGTTTACAATTCAAGGTTATACTTTGTTTTTTTTTTTTCCTTTTGAATATGCTTTGACGAAAGAATTGGATTCCGTCTTAAACAACTTATTTTAGGACAAAAAAAATATGGATTAGTTTTTGTTATAAAAGATTCTTTCTAAATTGTCAATAGCGCTTTGATGCAATTGGTAGTTGTGATGAAAAAAAACTGCGCTATAAAAAAAAGTAAAAGAAAATTCTGTAAAAATAAAAAAAAATAAGACAATAAAGTTATTTGTTTTTAATTCCATTAAATTTGCTCTGAATTAATTATAATATATTATGAGCTTTTAAATGAAAAATTGTAAAAATAAAATTTGAAAAAATTGAAGTTTTTGTTTTGATATGTAGTTTGATTAGATAATTAGTTAGCTGAAATTTGATTATTTTAATAACATTTGATTAATTTCATATGTCATCTTATCTGCTCTCATCTTATGCAATACAATTCAATGTTAATTAATTAAAGTATGGGTAAAGAGTTACATAAAATTTAAAATTTGCAAGACTTCAAATCATGTTGACAATTTTAGTTGTAAAGATGTCGTGAAACGATCTTTTATAACGAAACAGATGCAGCTATTAAATCGTGAAATTCAAAATTCTGCGAGAAAATGCAGGGTAAGTAAGTAAGTATGGTTAAAGGTTTAAATGACTTAACTGATTTGCTAACATTGATTTGTATTGACAATGACTTTTCTGATTTGCTAACATTTTGCTAACAATAATTTATTTGCTAACAATTTCTGATTTCACTGTTGAATTCAGTTTATTTCTTCAGGAAGGTACTTATCAAGCGAATGCACCAATTAACAAAACAATTAATTCCAACAGTTCTTCAACCTTAATTATTTTTACAAATCAAACGGATAACAATAATGTTATGGAAGATTTTTTGCAAAATTCACCTCATCAATGGTACTATTTTATTTGAACATTTTTCTTTTGTTCCATCGTTAAAATCCAAATTTTTGATAAAATTTGTTCTATCCTTAATCTTTAAAATAAAATTGCAAGTGTGCAAAATGTATGAATTTGAAAATTAAATTTTGATGATTGTTTTTGCAAATTCAATATCTTATAGCTTAAATTAATTTTCTCATTTATTCATTTTCATATATAACCAAAGTTTTGCTGAGTTATACTAATCAAAAAAAAAAAAGTTTTTTCTATTAGAACAATTTTTATCCCTCTCTTCTTTTCCATGTAGGATAGTTTTTAATGCATAATTTATTGTTGGAGATTTCCGATACGAATTTCAAAATTTCTCAGTTTTCAGAAAAATTGATTGATTAGTATGGAATTGAATTTCAGAAATTGATTGACTGGTAATTTGATATTTCTGATTGTGTATATTTGTCCTAATCAACTTCAGGTATTTGGCATTGAAAGCTAAGCTTATCAAGGAAACGCAGAAATCAATATTTCAAAGTTATACCACTACATCGTATATTAGCTTTAAAACTGATGAAAATGATAGCAATTATCAAGTGTTACAAAAAATGACAAGTAAATGATATAATAATTACATTTTGGGAAGAAAAATGATAATAATAATTAAATTTATTGATTCGCAAAATTTATTTCGTCATTTTTACTATTCTCACAGATTATCTGATATTAATTAGCTCTAGCATTATTCCTGAGTAAATTTTAATCAGATTACGTTATCATTGTCTAGCAGTTTCAGATGATAAAAAAGAACAATCGAAAGATGACGAATACACATTTCCAAATGAAATCGAGAAATGGGATAACGCGGAATACAAGAAAGATATTGAAGAATATCAAACTCGAAAAAAGGCACATGGAAAGCACTTGAAATATACCGAGGTAACAATTTAATTAATTAACAGCAACCGTCAATTTTATTGAATTTGTAAAAAGAAGCAATGAAGAGGGAATCATTGATTTTCAGGAAAAATACAACGGAAGTTTTTGTGACAGTTACATACGATGTCGAAGACAAGTATTTATTACTTTTAATTTTACTTTTTGTAAGTTTAAAATAACTGGTAAAAAATTAGAAATCGAGAACTGCTATTTTGCAACATTAGCACTTTCTTTCTGTGGTATGACGAAAAAAAATTAACAATTACTCTTTCACTAATTATTTTTTTTTCATAATTAATATTACGAAATGATCATTGCCGAAAATTTTTTATACAAGGTTGAAAAAAGTATGGATCGTTGTCAAATGCTTCGGAATAGTATTGATCGTGTACCACTGTTATCAACAATTACATTACTTCGAATAGGTGATCGTTGCATTGGTCAAGGTGATAATAGCTTTACTGAGCTTTATGAATTAATTATTGAACGTAACGATGGGCTTCATAAATGCTTGGACAGATATCATAATCAGGTATGCAATAAATTTACTATTGTATTTTTCAAATTAGCACATCCAACTTATTTCTAATTTATTTTATAATTTTTTTTCTTTTATTTCGATATTAATTAATTGCAAAATAGTTTGCATGTATATGAATTTTAGAATGATGAATCGGTGGATTGTTCAATGATAGCAATAAATCGTACTCATTGGCATTGGACATTAATAGATTCTGATGATCTACAAAAAACTACGAGTAGTGCTGATTGCTTAGCTCGAGTTAATTTGATACAATTTAAATGTGCACAATTGCGAAAATGTTGTTCGAATTTTAACAGGTAAAATATGAAAAAAAAATGCTTGTAATTTGTTAATGCTTCCATATGCTTTCATATTAAATTTTGATATTACAATGAATGAAATAGACTTGTTAAATCTTTCAATGTATTAATTATTTAATTAATTTATTTTATAATTTTTTTCTCTTATTTTGGTGTTATTAATTGTAATTTTACTGTTCATTTATATAATTAATTTTAACATTTGCTTGATAAATTATTTAATTGATTAAACATTTATAATGTGCTTATGTATTAAAATTGATATTATAATAAATGAAGTGGAATTGCTAACTTTCCAATGAAATAATTACAATTTTTTTGTTTATTTATACAACTTCAATTGATTAATTTAGTAGTATTGTTTACAGATGTCGAAATGAAACTTTTGATGCGAAAGCAGAACTACGAATAGCTTTACTAACAGTACAATTAATCACACAACATCATCATTGTTTACGACGTCAGCTTATGGCAATGACTCGATTATGATTAAATTAAAATGTTTAGCTTTTTCTGTTTTATTGGA